ATGCTGCTGCTGCAGCTGTGGTGTGGAGCGGGGATGGGGCGGCGGAGGGGAGCCACGCTCCAGGGCCCAAAAGTTCAGCTAATGCGAAGGAATTGGGAGGGAGACACAGGAGGCGGTGGAGGACGTGACGCTCAGCAGAGAGCACAGCAGCAGGGAGGGGGATGTGTTGGGAAAGACATTGGCACACTGGCAAGATCCCAATGTTATAGATCTTACAACCAGCCTCGGCGGGGGCCCTGGTAAGTGACGTTTCCTTGGTCCTGGTCTTCCACTTTCGCACCACCCCGGTCCACTGGTCATCCAGACCAGCCTCGGGGCCGACCAGGACTCCGAGGTAAGGAGCGCAGCCGGCGACCTTGAATGCGCCCCACGCCGGCACCAGTACCTGAAGAAGCTGGCGCATCTGACGAGCACTGATCTCTGCGAAACGCTGCCCCAAGGGAACCAAGACGCACTTGGCCGGCTGAAGCTCCAGCGTGGCGACAAAGTCAGCCGAAGCGAAAGGTGGAACCAGGAGGGGGAGGTCATGAACGGAGGGGAGAGTGGAGCCCACGTTGTCAGCACAAGCGCCGTTGAGCGGCGGGACGCTTGGGAGGTAACGGATCTGGGCCGTCTGCGCCTCCAAATACCTGAGGAATGGGTCCATAGCGAACGCCCAGAGGGTACCAGAGAGGGGACACCCCTGAGCAACGCCCGGGGTCAACATGATGGACCCACGAACCCGGAAAGGGATATAGACATGTGGAGCATGGACACGTTTTCATGATACCCAACTGGGCAACACCTCACGAAACATCCCACGAGACACCTCACGAAACAGCCCACGAGACACCTCACGAAACATTCCACGAGACACCTCACGAAACATTTCACGAGACACCCCGCGAAACATTCCACGAGACACCCCACGAAACATTCCACGACGACAGGCAACCACTCAACCAAGGCGGTGTGGTCGTGCTGGGGAGTGGTCGTGCTGGGGAGTGGTCGTGCTGGGGCGTGGTCGTGCTGGGGCGTGGTCGTGCTGGGGTGTGGTCGTGCTCGGGGGGTGGTCGTGCTGGGCTGGGGTGGTCGTGCTGGGGGTGAGTGGTCGTGCTGGGGCTAGGGCGTGGTCGTGCTGGGGCGTGGTCGTGCTGGGGCGTGGTCGTGCTGGGGTGTGGTCGTGCTGTGGTAAGGTCGTGCTGGGGTGCGGTCGTGCTGGGGTGTGGTCTTGCTGGGGTGGGGTCGTGCTGGGGTGTGATCGTGCTGGGGTGGGGTCGTGCTGGGGTGTGGTCGTGCTGGGGTGTGGTCGTGCTAGGGTGGGGTCGTGCTGGGGTGGGGTCGTGCTGGGGAGTGGTCGTGCTGGGGTGTGGTCGTGCTGGGGTGTGGTCATGCTGGGGCGTGGTCGTGCTGGGGTGGGGTCGTGCTGGGGTGGGGTCGTGCTGGGGTGGGTTCGTGCTGGGGTGCTCCGCACCCTGTGATTTATCGATGCTGGGGTGTGGTCGTGCTGGGGTGTGGTCGTGCTGGGGTGTGGTCGTGCTGGGGTGTGGTCGTGCTGGGGAGTGGTCGTGCTGGGGTGTGGTCGTGCTGGGGGGTGGTCGTGCTGGGGGTGGTCGTGCTGGGGGGGTGGTCGTGCTGGGGGGTGGTCGTGCTGGGGCGTGGTCGTGCTGGGGCGTGGTCGTGCTGGGGCGTGGTCGTGCTGGGGTGTGGTCGTGCTGTGGTGAGGTCGTGCTGGGGTGTGGTCGTGCTGGGGTGTGGTCTTGCTGGGGTAGGGTCGTGCTGGGGTCGGGTCGTGCTGGGGTGTGGTCGTGCTGGGGTATGGTCGTGCTGGGGTGGGGTCGTGCTGGGGTGGGGTCGTGCTGGGGTCTGGTCGTGCTGGGGTGTGGTCGTGCTGGGGTATGGTCGTGCTAGGGTGGGGTCGTGCATTTCGCTCGAGACATCCTGCCAAAATTCCAGGAAATCGTACAAAAACAAAGGAATTAGTCGAGACATCATCGAAATTCCTTCGCGCGGGGCGCTTTTCCGCGTCGCGGTCGGCTCTGCAAAACAAGCGTTTCGCTCGAGACATCCTCGGCAAACTCTGCGGAGCAAGCGTTTCGCTCGAGACATCCTCAACACACGAAAAAGTGGCCCGCACCCTGTGATTTATCGATCGGGATTTCAAAAACAAGCGTTTCGCTCGAGACATCCTCAAATTTTAATTCGCCGGCCTCCTTCGACCTCGTTATTTATCAGGGAAAAAATTCGCCGGCCTCCCTCAAGTTGGCACCGGGGGACAGGTTTACCAACTAAAAGAGAACCCTGGGCCGGCGCCCTTTCCGGGAAAAAGAACATGGGGGAGCGGATGGGGCCAGCCTGGAGGTGAGCAAGAGAGGAGGTGTAGACAACATCCGCGAAGGCCACATAGCCCTCAAAAATCTTATGTTTCAAGAACACGCGCCGGAGAAACTGTCGGGACAGCGACGGAAACGCTGCTCCTCACGATTTCGAAGAGGAGGAGGAGGAGGAGGAGGAGGAGGAGGAGGAGGAGGCAAGCAGGAGGCAGGAGCAGGAGGCAAGAGGGGGAGGAGGAGCCGAAGGAGGCTGGGGGCAGGGGCATAGGGAGGAGGAGGAGGAGGAGGTGGAGGAGGAGAAGGAGGAGAAAAGGGAGGAGGAGGAGGAGGAGGAGGAGGAGTGATAAGGTAGCTCCTCGCAGTGCTGATCCTCACCCTCTTGATGACCCCCCTCATGGCCCTCGCCCTTCTGATTCTCACCATCATGATCCTCACTCTCCTCATTCTCGCTCTCTTCACCCTCAACCTCCTGCCTCACGAACCTGATCCTCACCCTCCTCATGCTCATTATCATTATCCTGATCCTCGCTCTCCTTGTGATGCTCACTCTGCGGATCCTCACTCTGCTGATCCTCCCTCTCCTGTTCCAAACTCACCCAGTCCACATCCCTTGCTCATCTTCATTCTCCTGATCCTCGCTCTCCTAACCCTCATCCTCCACATCCTCACGCTCCTGCTTCACGCTCGCCTGCTCCTGAGCCGCGTGAGTCTCACTCTCCCGATCCTGCCCCTCGCGAGCCTCGCTTTGCTGATCCCCATCCTCCTCATCCTCACCCGCCGCACCACCACCTCCCGCGCGCGCCCCTTCTTCTATATACAGAAACTTCCGATCAACCGCAAAGTGTCTGCTACTCGTACAGCGGACACAACGGATTGCAGCAAAACATGATCAGTTTCGGTATTGTCCGATCCATTTTTGGTATGAAGCTTTTCCCAAGTCTGGCTTCAGACCTATACCGATACAGCCTTGCGATTCGCGTTGGGTTTCCGCCATCAGGACACGATATGGTAATTACAAAGCTGGACGGCATGGACGATACGGTGTGCGCGCACACGCTGTGTAACACATCGCTCTGTGCTATCAGAACACGAATTCAATGTTTGGATCAAGATCCGGCAAACGACATCCATCCAGAAAGCCCCAAGAAGGCCCCGAGAGGCCACATCATGCATACAACAACTCATGTATGTCATTTCGATTTCTTACAGAAATTAGCGGTCCCGCCTTTTGGGGTTTCAGACACTCCAAAGCCCCGCAGTACCATCCCAAGACGGTCCAAGCGGTCCCCGAAGAGGGTTCACCCAGACGGCCCAAGAGGGCCACAAGAGGGGGAACTCGAACTGCCGCCCCAAGACAATCCCAGAGACCGTCAGCAGGCCCGCCAAAGCCCCCGGGAAGCCACAGGAGGTCCCCAAGAAACCTACATCAGGCCCCAAGAGGACGCCAAGAGGCCCACGAGATGCTCCACCAAGATGCTCTCAGAAACGCCTCCAAGAGGCTTCTGAGAGGCCTGTCAGGCGATTCCCGCAGGCATCCATTGGGCCTCTGACCCACCACCCAGGCGCGCTGGCGGGATGGGCCGAAGGCCAGTAGATCCGCCGCCCCGTGTTGATTCATCACAGGGGTGCCTGGCGTGCTGGATGTCTGGTTGTCGGTACTTCTTTGAAGAACTTCCCCCGGGGCTTCGGCCCAGCCCGCAGGCCACCCGGAAAGCTCCCCAAAATTCAACCCTCGTTGCCCACATCGCCTCCAAGACGGCCAAGATGGCCCAAAATGGTTCCAAGATGTCTTTAAGACGGCCACGATGACCCAAGACGGTCCGAAGACGCCTCCAAAACGGCCAAGATGGCCCCAAGACGGCCCGAGATGTCCTCCAGACGTCCCAAGAGACCCCAAAGACGCTCCAAGTGGGCTCCAAGAGGACGTCCAGGACTCCCCGGACAGTCCTTGATTCTCATGTGATTTTTCATGATTTTTGCGTTCTCGCCTTTTCGGCCTTCCGACCCCCCAAAACGGGCCTATAAGCCACAAATATCGCCCCAAGACGGCCCAGGAGGCCTCTAAGAGGCCCGCAAAACGGTCCAAGAGGGCCCCAAGACAGCCCAAGAGGCCCGCAAGACGCCCCTAAGACGGCCGCAGAGACCTCCAAGACGGCCCTGAAGCGCCCAAAGGAGGACCCACGACTGCCCAGGAAGGGTTCAAGACAGCCTCCCAAGAGGTCCCCAAGAGATCCCCCAGAGGTCCCCAAGAGGTCCCCAAGAGGTCCCACGAGACCCCCAAGAGGCCCCAGGATGCCCCTAAGATGACCTTGAGAGCCCCCCCAAGGGCTCCCAGGAAGTCCCCAAGAGCCGCAAGAGGGCCTCAAGAGGCCTTCTCTTTTTCCTCCTCTGCCTTATCCTCCCTCTCCTCCTCCTTTCTCTGCCTCTCCCGAGTGTTCCCGCAAGGGGTTCCACGATGGCTGGGAAGCCATAATCCAATAGCTTGGCCTGACTCTGGCTCAATGTTTGGCAGCATTGGCGTTTCAAAAAAGCAGGGGGGCGGCGGTGATTCGCCGCAAGCGTCTTCGATATGTTGTGATTTCAGGTGTCCTAGGCAAAACGCTGGAGGTACTATGTGTTCTCTCACTGTCGTTGGGCCCGTACGAACCATCGCAATCACGGTCATGTGCAACGCAAAAGGAAACTTTGCCATTATGTGCAAGCCAATTGGATTTTCACTGCCACCCTCTCCAGATGCATGCGCGTCAGGGCTACCAAACCGATGGCGTCACATCGGAGGCATCGGCCTGGGTGCTGAGATCAACGTGCCGATCCACACGCTGATGTAAATTCTGAATTCTACCCGCGAACCTTACCAACGCATCTTGGAATTATGTTTGTCCAGAACCCAACGGGCACACGATGCCTGGGATCGAGACCACATTGCCGAAAATGCATGTGTCCCGGCTTGGACATTAGTCCTCCTCCCAAGTAAAGACCACATGAGTAAACCTGGAGAACACATGTCTCAGGGACGCATTGCGCTGCTCGACTCTCGTGAATGTGAGATGTCAGCGCGTCGCGTTGAGGCCTGGCGGGCCAGGACAGGCAGAGCGACACGCTACACGAAAGTTCCTGACCGTGGCACATCGTGGCCCGAAGCAAGTGCGCGGGCGGCGACGGGTCTCAGGAACCGTTTCGACAGCAGGAGGAGAAGAGGGGCCACGACATCTGGGAGATCCCACGGCCACGGCACACCCCACCCCAGCCTTCACCCCCTTCCTGCACGCCTTGCCGTCGCTCGGACGCCCATTCCTCCGTGCATTTCTCGATCTCGCGCGTGCATTTCTTCGCAAAATGACCCAGGATGCTCCTCAATGTCCTCGCCGAAGAAAAACACACGTCCGAGCGATGCCAAGAAGCCGCCACGCCGAGGGGTGCCCTCCTTCTTTGCCCCCTCTGCGCCCGCGGCCGACACCGCACACAGCAACACCTGCGGGGAAGGCGGCGCCAGCGCCCGCGCGAGCAGGAGGAGGAGGAGGAGGAGGAGGAGGAGGAGGAGGAGGAGGAGGAGGAGGAGGAGGAGGAGGGCGGAGCCGGCGCCCGCGCTCCGGGCGCGGGCGACGCCGCCGGGGTCGACGTCCGGACCGCGCGGCCGCTGGCCTCCGCCGCTGAAGCCTCGCCGGTCCCTGGGCCGACGCCAAGCGCGGCCCCGCTCCTCGGGGCCGGGGCGGCGGCGGGCGCCAGGCGGCCGCGCGCGACGAGAGCCCCAGCGGCTCCTCCAGCGCTCCTCCTGCTGGCTCGCCGCGAGGTGCGGAACGGCGCCAGGCTTAGGTCGGGCATGTTCTCCTGCAGGCAGGCTTTGGGGCCAAAGTTCAAAATAAGCAAAAGATGCACAAACATCACCTAGCATAGTTGAAGAAATGTCCCCAGACTATTTTTTAGTACCTGTACGACCACCCTGCGGGTGATAAGGAGGTTTTTTTGGGGGGGAGGGGGGCCAGCAATGGACCCCACTATCGCTTTCACAATCGATCCCATTCGATCGATGACACTATCGATCTCACTCGATCGATCTCACTATCGATCCCACTCGATCGATCTCATTATCGATCTCACAAGCGATGTCGTTATCGGTCTCACGATGGATCTCACCATCGATCTCACTATCGACCTCTCTCTCTCTATCGATCTCACAAGCGATGTCCTTATCAGTCTCACGATCGATGGGACCATCGATCCCACTATCGATCTCACTCGATCGATCTCACTATCGATCTCACTCGATCGATTGCACTGTCGATCTAACTCTGGATCTCGCTATCGATCCCACTAACGATCTCCCTATCGATATCACTCGATCTCACAATCGATATCACTATTCATCTCACCATCGATCTCACTATCGATCTCACGATCGATCTCACTATCGATCTCACGATCGATCTCACTATCGGTCTCACAATCGATTACGTCATCGGTCTAACTATCGTTTTCGAACCAGCGGGACACCGGGACACCAGCGGGACACTGGCGGGACACCGGCGGGACACCGCGGGCCACCGCTTGCCGGAGGGAGAATCATTTGGTCCGGCCGGGGTCCAGCCACAAGCGGGACACCTGCGGGACACCGGCGGGACACCGCGGGCCACCGCTTGCCGCCGGAGAGGGAGAATCATTTCGTCCGGCCGCGCCTCAGCCACAGGAGACTTTCCTCTCCCCCGCCCACGCAGCTTCGCCTCACCCGCACGCACGACACGCACGAACCCGAAGCCGAAACCGACTTCCAGGTGGGGGGGCTCTCCGTTCCACTTCGACCTCGCCCCCTCACCTCCGACTTCTGGACTGTTCCTCCTGTAGAGGGCACGCCCGACGGAATCCACTCCAGGCCCTCCGGTGGAGCCTGCGATGCTCGCGGGCGCGGGCGGCCCGCGCGGGGGGCGGCGCCGCCGCGGCGCCGGGGGCGCGGTGGCGGTCACCCCCGGGGGCAGCAGGGCGGCAAGCAGCCGCCCTGCGGGGCACAGGGCGGCTCCAGCGGCGGAGGCCTGCCCGCCGGGCTCCCCGGGGGCAGGTCTTGCCCTTGACCCCCGAGGGTCTCCTCCTCCTCCTCCTCCTCCTCCTCCTCCTCTTCCTCCTCCTACTTCTCCTCCTGCTCCTCCTCTTCGTCTCCTTTCTCCTCCTCCTCCGAGGCCACATCTGCTGGTATCTGCTGGCATCTGCGTCCCACATGTAAATCCGAAGGCGCTTGCGGCACGTCCTGGCGCTTTCGGCAACGGCTGTCTTTCATAGTATCACGCGAGTTGGAAGAGGGGAGGAGGCGGAGTGCGGGTATCACTAGTCGTCGTCGTCGTCGTCGTCGTCGTCGTCGTCGTCGTCGATGTCGTCGTCGTCGTCGTCGTCGTCGTCGTCGTCGTCGTCGTCGTCGTCGTCGTCCTCGTCCTCGTCCTCGTCGTCGCGTCGTTGGTGTCGCTGAGGTGCCGCTCGCTGCACCGTTTCTGTTGCGAGCGTCGCCACTGCTCGCAACTGCGGTGCTTGCTGTGATGCTACTGTTAGTCGCCGTCGTTGCCGTTGCCATGTTGTTTGTTGCGCTGGCGCTGCTGCGCGCAGTGCTGCTGGTCGCAGTCGCAGTGCTCTCTATGCTGGTCCTCCTCCTCCTTCACCTCTGTCTGGTCCTTGTCCTCCTATTGACCCTCCTCCTCCTCCTCCTCCTCCTCCTCCTCCTCCTCTTGATCTTCCTGCTCCTCCCTATCACCAGTCTCTTCTGCTACTGCTCGTGGCTCGTGACTGCGGACTGTCGTGTCGACGACTGAAGCCCTCGAACCTGCCCCTCTCCCCGGCAGCAGCGCCTCGCTGGGGCGGGCGGGAGCTGTAAGCGCAGGGCGCGCGAGAGCTGAAAAGGGGTCGTCCCCTGAGGAGAGGGAGACCGACGGAGAAGGAGCGATAAGAGGAAAACAGAGAAGGGAGGAGGCCCCCATACAGGCGGATTTGTCGAACATATCAAACATGATGGACCCACGAACCCGGAAAGGGATATAGACATGCGCAGCATGGTCACGTTTTCACGATACCCAACTGGGCGACATCTCACAAAACATCCCACGAGACACCCCGCGAAACATCCCACGAGACACCTCGCGAAACATTCCACGAGACACCTCGCGAAACGTTCCACGAGACACCCCGCGAAACATTCCACGAGACACCCCACGAAACATTCCACGAGACACCCCACGAAACATTCCACGAGACACCCCACGAAACATTCCACGGGGGTGCGACTGGGGTGTGTCGTGCTGGGGGGGTGGTCGTGCTGGGGTGTGGTCGTGCTGGTCGGCTGTGGTCGTGCTGGGGTGTGGGTGCTGTGGTGAGGTCGTGCTGGGGTGTGGTCGTGCTGGGGGGTGGTCGTGCTGGGGGGTGGTCGTGCTGGGGGGGTGGTCGTGCGTGCTGGGGAGTGGTCGTGCTCGTGCTGGAGTGTGGTCGTGCTGGGGTGTGGTCTTGCTGGGGTGGGGCCGTGCTGGGGTGGGGTCGTGCTGGGGTGGGGTCCTGCTGGGGTGTGGTCGTGCTGGGGTGTGGTCGTGCTGGGGTGGGGTCGTGCTGGGGTGGGGTCGTGCTGGGGTGTGGTCGTTCTGGGGTGTGATCGTGCTGGGGTGTGGTCGTGCTAGGGTGGGGTCGTGCTGGGGTGGGGTCGTGCTGGGGTGTGGTCGTGCTGGGGAGTGGTCGTGCTGGGGTGTGGTCGTGCTGGGGGGTGGTCGTGCTGGGGGGTGGTCGTGCGTGGTCGTGCTGGGGAGTGGTCGTGCTGGGGCGTGGTCGTGCTGGGGCGTGATCGTGCTGGGGTGGTCGTGCTGTGGTGAGGTCGTGCTGGGGTGTGGTCGTGCTGGGGTGGGTGTGGAGTGGGGTCGTGCTGGGGTGGGGTCGTGTCTGGGGTGTGGTCGGGGTGTGATCGTGCTGGGGTGTGGTCGTGCTAGGGTGGTGGGGTCGTGCTGGGGTGGTGGTCGTGCTGGGGTGTGGTCGTGCTGGGGAGTGGTCGTGCTGGGGTGTGGTCGTGCTGGGGGGTGGTCGTGCTGGGGGGTGGTCGTGCTGGGGGGGTGGTCGTGCTGGGAGGTGGTCCTCAGAATTCAGGTCCCCAGGAGAGGACAATCTATAACACAAAACAAGCGTTTCGCTCGAGACATCCTCACCATTTTCTGAACATGATGGACCCACGAACCCGGAAAGGGATATAGACGTGCGCAGCATGGTCACGTTTTCACGATATCCAACTGGGCGACACCTCACGAAACATCCCACGAGACACCCCGCGAAACATCCCAGGGGACACCTCACGAAACAACCCACGAGACACCTCACGAAACATTCCACGAGACACCCCGTGAAACATTCCACGAGACACCCCACGAACAGGCAACCACTCAACCAGACACCCCACGAAACATTCCACGGGGGTGCGACTGGGTGTGGTCGTGCTGGGGTGTGGTCGTGCTGGAGTATGGTCGTGTTGGGGTGTGGTCGTGCTGGGGTGTGGTCGTGCTGGGGGGTGGTCGTGCTGGGGGGTGGTCGTGCTAGGGGGGTGGTCGTGCTGGGGGTGGTCGTGCTGGGGCGTGGTCGTGCTGGGGCGTGGTCGTGCTGGGGCGTGGTCGTGCTGGGGTGTGGTCGTGCTGTGGTGAGGTCGTGCTGGGGTGTGGTCGTGCTGGGGTGTGGTCTTGCTGGGGTGGTCGTGCTGGGGTCGGGTCGTGGGGTGTGGTCGTGCTGGGGTGGTCGTGCTGGGGTGTCGTGCTGTGGTGGGGTCGTGCTGGGGGGGGTGTGGTCGTGCTGGGGTGTGGTGTGCTGGGGTGTGGTCGTGCTAGGGTGGGGTCGTGCTGGGGTGGGGTCGTGCTGGGGTGTGGTCGTGCTGGGGTGTGGTCGTGCTGGGGCGTGGTCGTGCTGGGGTGGGGTCGTGCTGGGGTGGGGTCGTGCTGGGGTGTGGTCGTGCTGGGGTGGTCCGCACCCTGTGATTTATCGATCGGGTCGTGCTGGGGTGGGGTCGTGCTGGGGTGTGGTCGTTCTGGGGTGTGATCGTGCTGGGGTGTGGTCGTGCTAGGGTGGGGTCGTGCTGGGGTGGGGTCGTGCTGGGGTGTGGTCGTGCTAGGGAGTGGTCGTGCTGGGGTGTGGTCGTGCTGGGGGGTGGTCGTGCTGGGGTGTGGTCGTGCTGGGGGGGTGGTCGTGCTGGGGGGTGGTTGTGCTGGGGCGTGGTCGTGCGTGCTGGGGTGTGGTGAGGTCGGGATTTCAAAAACAAGCGTTTCGCTCGAGACATCCTCAAATTTTAATTCGCCGGCCTCAAAAACAAGCGTTTCGCTCGAGACATCCTCTAATTTTAATTCTCGGGCTCGTTATTTATCAGGGAAAAATTCGCCGGCCTCCTTCGACCTCGTTATTTATCAGGGAAAAAATTCGCCGGCCTCCTTCAAGCAGGCACCGGGGGACTAGGTTTACCTACTAAAAGAGAACCCTGGGCCGGAGCCCTTTCCGGGAAAAATGGTCAAAGCTGGCATTAAACAAAAACATCGTGCCCCAACATATGAAAACTACTTTTGAATATTCTTCCTGTAAAGGGACATGCTCGACTAACAGCCAGGGGGGGGCAGCGGGCACGACGGAGGAGGGCGGGAAGGGGGGGGGGGGGGGGAGAGGGTCGCCACACGGTCGACGCCCCCCCCCCCCCTCCCAAGGAGCACCCAACAAAAAGGAGGGGGCTCTCTGAGGGGGCTTCAGCGGCATGTGCGTTCCTGTGGTTGCCGTTGCTCGTGCACGTGCTGCGCCTCCTCCTCTCCTCTCCCCTCCCTCCCCCTCGCATTCCCCTCGTACTCCTCCCTTCCTCCCTTCCTCCTCCCTTCCTCTCCTCCTCCTCCTCCTCCTCCTCCTCCTCCTCCTCCTCATCCCTTCCTGCGCCCCTCCCCTCCCCCTTCCTCCTTCCCTCCTTCCCTCCTCCTTCTCCTCCTCCTCCTCCTCCTCTTCCTCCCCCTCCTATCTGGCAATCTCCGCCCCCGTCCTGCGCCGCCCCTCCGCCTCTCTCTGGCGCCCCTCCTCCCCGGCCCGTCCCATGGGCCTGGGGGCATGGCCGCGCGCGGGAAGGCGCGCCCCGCCCCTCCACCGGGCGGGGTGGGGCGCGCTGGGCTGTGGCTAACATTAGGTCGTGCGTGGCGTCCTACCGGCGGCTTTCGTGGGAAAAACAAAACAGTAGTCGAAACATATTCAAAAGTAACCCAAAATAGTAGAAACATCGCCCCCATACTTCATTTTTTGACTAGTTGTGAATGCTCCTCCTGTAGAGAGACGTGTCCGACGGCTAATGTGGAACGGTGGCGGGGACTCCAGCTTTGTGAATGCCTGTGTTCTGGTCGCACCCTTCCTAGGCCAGTGCCGAGGGTGGCCCCACCTGCCTGGGCAGCGCGGTGCTCTAGACTCCCCCCCAAAGGTCAATCACGCCTATGCATTAATGCCCTGGCGACGCGGGCCGCGAGTGAAGGGCGAAAGGGCGAGCCGAGAGGAAAGATGACTGGAAGAGGGTCGGGGGAGGCTGAGCGCGGCGGCGGCGGCGGGGCGGGCGAAAGCTGGCGGGCCGCGGTCTCTGCGTCTGTCTTCCGCTGGCGGGGCAGCTCAGGTACTCAGGGATCAGGGCCCATGCCGGGAACGCCGAGAGTTGGCATTTGGCGGCTGCAGTCCGCTGGAATGCCAGTGATGTGTGCCATCGCGGCTTCGTTCTCGGCGGTGCGCATCTCCTTCAATAGCCTCATCTCCGCCTCCATCTCAGCCTCTCTGGCCTTCCTGCATGTTTGGTCGGTCCAGTCTGGTCGCCAGGCCGGCCATCATCTTGATCATCGGGCTGAAACACGTTTTGCGCCCCCCCTGCACAGGACGACGTCGAAGTCATCAGGGGATGCTGCGCTATTGTGTGTGCTGTTGCTGTCTCAGGTAGGTGGGCGCTGTCCTCACTTTGAAACACGCTGGCGACATTGAACACTTGGTTCCACAATTTGGTGCTGTAAAGGCGGACTGCTGCCTTCTGGTCGGCGGGCGAGTATCGCACGGCGATTGGCCCCCCCCCACCCCCACAGACACATCAGTCATCGGGGGTGCTGCGCTCCTCCTCCCTCTCCTCGTCCTCCTCGTCATCCTCGTTCTCCTCGTCCTCCTCCTTCTCCTCTTCCTCCTCCTCCTCCTCCTCCTCCTCCGCCACCATTCCTTCTCCTTATGAATAACTTCTCCCTGTCGCACCCCAGGGCCAGTTTTTAGGGCGGACCAGGCGTTCCGCCTGAGACTTCCTTACCATGCACGACTCTGAAGCTTGAAGAGCGACAGCAGTTTCACAGATGGAGGGCGTGTCGTTTTCAACATGTGGCTCTCACCTCAGCGCCGCGCACATTAGTTGTAAACATTGCAAGAGCTTCACGGATTGAGGGCGGGTCGTTTTGAAAATGTGGCTCTCGCCTTGGCGCCGCGTACACTCGTTTCCAAACGTTGCAAAAGTTTCAAGGATTGAGGGCAGGTCGTTTTCAAAATGTGGCTCTCGCCTCAGCGCCGCGCGCATTCGCTGTAACACTTTGCAAGAATTTCAAGGATCGAGGGCGGTTCCTTTTCTAAATGTGGTTAGCGCCGCGCGCATTTGATGTAAACATTCCAACAGTTTCACGGATTCCTGTGATCATCGTGCCAGACATGGTGTTTTAGCAGGAGTCAGGATTATGCGGGTGCAGCGGCTATGTTGATTCGCGGTGTTGAAGTCCTAATAATGGCGTTATGGCACGATTCCGGATCGTCAAGACGCAGCAGCCAGGTTGATCCGTGGCGTTGAAATCCCGAGAACCATGTTTTTTTTTGCATGTTTCAGGATCTTCAAACGGTTGTCTTCCAACGAGGCAGTTCCCTCAGTGGAAATGAACCGTTGTAGGGGCCTTTGAAGAGGGAGCTTGGAGGGATGATCGAATCCAACATCGTTGATGTCTCTTGGGTTTACACTGGTCCTCCTCTTCCCCCTCCTCCTGCCCTACTCGTTCTCATGAGGCCTCATCCTCCAACTTGTTCTCCCACTCCTCGTTCTCCCCCTCTCCACCGCGACTTCCACCCTCTCGTCCTCGACTTCCTCCTCTGTCAGCATTCCTCCTGCCTCGCTCCTCTCACCTGCCCCTCCTGCCTCCTGCCTCCTGTCTCCTGGCTCCTCCTCCTCTTCCTCGCCAGCCTCTTCCTCCTCCTCGCCAGCCTCTTCCTCTCCCTTCTCCGTCAGCCCCTGTAGCCGGCCTGCTCCTCGTCCCTCCTTCTCCTCTGCCTCCCTCCTCTTCCTCCTCCTCCTCCTCCTCCACCTCCACCTCCTGCTCCTCCTCCTCCTCCTCCTCCTCCTCCTTCCTCTCCTTTGCCTCCCTCTCCTCCCTCTGCGGGGTCCAACGGGCCTGCCCTGGCCCGCCGCGGGCGCGAGGCGCCGAGCCGACTCCTCACCGGGCACCCTGGCCAGAGGTGCCTGCGCTGGTGGCGCGCGAAGAAAAATAGCGGAAGCGGAGAGGAGGAGGAGGAGGAGGAGGAGGAGGAGGAGGAGGAGGAGGAGGAAGAGGGACGTGATGAATCTGACGAGGCGGCCTGCCGGGCCCTGTAACACAGGCCCGCGGCGCGGACTTGCGCTGCGCCGCATTTTTGAACCGCGCTCCGACGAGGCGGCGAGGAAGGCACAGGGGCGACCTGCGCCAAGAAAACCAAAACGGCTCAACGGCCTGAGGCGAGTCCAACCGCGGCGACGCGACGAGGGACACACCAGAAAACCGAGGCGCCCAGCAGTGGCAACGTGGCAGGTAGTGGGTGTACTTCTTGAGAGCGTTCGCCTTCACAAAGACGACTTCGCCGAAAATCCCACGATTCCTGGCCTTGGTCGCCTTCTTCTGGCAGGACTTGAGATGTACGCCTGGGATGACAAACTTACGCCTGGGATGTACTTCGCCACTCACGGTGGAATGCCTTCGAGAATGCTCAAGGTCTTTATCATCACACCACTCGGGATGACGAGCCTACCGATGTACTTCGCCACTGACGTTGCAATGCTCGCGAGAATGATCAAGGCCTCCTGAGCTACTCCTTCATCTGATCTTCTCCATGGTTCCTGCGGGCTGCGCCCCCCCCCCCGCGCGCCCGCAAATGGCTCCCCTGAGCCAAGGGGGGCTTGAACCAAAATGGCTTGAGCCAAAATGGCTACGGAGTGGAGGAGGAGGAGGAGGAGGAGGAGGAGGAGGAGGAGGAGGAGGGAGGATGAGGAGGAGAAGGAGGAGGAGGAGGAGGGAGAAGGAGGAGGAGGGGGAGGAGGATGATGAGGAGGGAGGAGGACTAGGAGGAGGAGGACCAATGCAAACCCATCACGCATCAAAGACCTTGCAAAATGCCCTCCCCCCAAGTTGCCACTTCAGAGGTCCCTTCTCGAATATATGTTCATCGTGGGAAACTCCCAGTCAGAAGACAACCGTCTGAAACTCCTCAATCAGTCTGAAGCTCAATTTCTGGGACACCAACGCAGCGAATAAACGTGACTGTTGCGTTGACAGTCCTAACTCGTGCCAGAACACCATACCTGGGACGTCAATACCGCGAACAACTCTCGATCGCGCCAGAACACCACTCCTCGAACTCCGACCCTGCGAGCCAGTGAATATGTTGCAACAGTTAGATGCAACGCGCGCGACACTAAAGCGAGCAGCGAGAGCCACATTTTGAAAAAACACCCTGTCTCCTTGAAGCTGCTGCAAACTGTAAAAAAGCGAATGTGCGCGGCGCTGTGGCGATAACTACATGTTGAAACGATCTGCCTTCAATCCTGTAACATGTTACGAACTGTTCAAGCGTATATGGGTGGCGCTGGAGCGAGAGCTACATTTTACAAGCGAGTCGCGCTCCATCCCTGAGTGGGCGATAAGGGGGTCGATGCGTTCCCCCCTGAGCCCGTCCCCCACCTCATGTTGTCCCTGCCCCCGCTGGAGGAAGAGGGCAGGGAGGAGGGTGAGGCGCAGGAGGAGGAGGAGGAGGAGGAGGAGGAGGAGTCCTGGTCCCCCACCCCCCACCCTCGATGCAGAGGGTAGGCAAGAGGCAGATGACGAGAAAGACGAGGACGAGGATTGAGTAGGGACCGGCCATCCCAGCAGTCCTGTGACCAATCACGAGGTGTTCTTCTAACGAAGCGACGCTATAGAGACACATCCAACGGTCTTAGAGCGAGAAAATGTTAGAATTACAAATCCAATGTTCTTGGAACGTTCAAGGGATGTGTTGAAAGAAGACTGTCTCAGCCAGAAAGGTTCTAAGTACACTGCGTGCAAGCCTCAAGCGGCTCTGATAACTGTCTTTGGTGGGAGCATCGGCGAGTCAAGTCGCTTCGCCACTGCTTGAGTGGAGGGCGAGCAGGAGCGGCCCTGGCGCCTCGACCGGGGCGGCCGCCGCGTGCTCCGAGCCCGGCGGAGCGGCCGGCGGCGGCTCGCGGAGAGCCTGCGGCGACGACAACGGACGACCACGGCCCCCCCTCCCTCCCTCCTGCTCCTCCCTCCTCTCCTTCGGCGACGACAACGGACGACCACGGCCCCCCCTCCCTCCCTCCTGCTCCTCCCTCCTCTCCTTACTCATGTCATCCCTCCTCTCCTCCCTCCTCTACCTACCTTCTCCTCCTCTTCCTCCTCCTCCACCTCCTCCTTCTCCTCCTCCTTCCTCTTCCTCCCTTCTCTCCTCCCTCTTCTCTTCCCTGCTCCCTCCTCTTCTCTCTCCTCTTCTCCTTCCTCTTCTCTCTCCTCTTCTCCTTCCTCTTCTCCCTCCTCTACCTGCCTGCCTCCTACTCCTCCTCCTCCATGTAGAGAACTCCTCCTCCTCTGACCACCAGGCGTGTCGGCAAGGAAGGCAGGGCAGGGCGTTTCGCCTCAGACTTCCTCCTGGTAGTGGCCTGCTTCCTGCCTAGCCGCTTTCCCTGGAGTGGCCCCGTGGGCCCGCATGGACCGTCGGGCGCAACATCGAGCTCGGCCGGAAGGAGAAACCCGAGAGACCCTAAGGACCCCCCGAGCAGTTGAAATGCCAACAGCTACACGGACGGATGTTTTTGTGCAAGCTTCACGAGCGAACAACTCACACCCATACCCATAGGAGGGTCGAAAGGAGGGGAACTGGCTATGGGTATGGGTGCGAGTTGTCGGACCCTGGGGGAAGCTCCCGTTCGTGCGGGGACCCCCATCCGACAACACGCACCCATAGCCTCCTCCGTCCCCCCTATGGGTATGGGTGCGTGTTGTTCGATCGTCAAAGCTGTGGCTCTCGCCTTAGCGCCGCGCGCAATTGTTTTAAAACTTCCAGCAGCTGCGCGGATGGAGGGGAGGTGCTTTTCAACATGTGGCTCTCGCCCCAGCGCCGCGCGCATGCGTCTTGATTCCAACACACGGATGGCGGGGGGTGGCTTTCAAAAAATGTTTGTTGTCCTAGCGCCACGCACGTGTTTCGCCAAACTTTGCAACTGATGCAAATATGAAAAGATGGGGTCTGAATCTGGCTGTCGTAAAGCTCTCGCCTTGGCTCCGCGCACCTCGTTTTGAAAAAGAACCCAACGCGACCTGAATTGGGAAAACACTTCCGGCTGCATAAGCGCCATCATGCCAGGGACCCCGAAAAACAAGACTGGGGAAGCCGAGGAACCCAAGCACGGAACAAGAGAGGGGCGCCCAAGGAACCCAAGCAAAGAACCAGACCAATGACAACCCGAGGAACCCGAGCAAGGAACACGACCGTGGAACCCGAGGGACCGAGAACCTGATGATCCCAAGCAAAAAACATGATGGACCCACGAACCCGGAAAGGGATATAGACATGTGGAGCATGGGCACGTTTTCACGATACCCAACGGGGCAACACCTCACGAAACATCCCACGAGACACCTCACGAAACATCCCACGAGACACCTCACGAAACATTCCGCGAGACACCTCACGAAACATTCCACGAGACACCCCGCGAAACATTCCACGAGACACCCCACGAAACATTCCACGACGACAGGCAACCACTCAACCAAGGCGGTGTGGTCGTGCTGGGGAGTGGTCGTGCTGGGGTGTGGTCGTGCTGGGGGGTGGTCGTGCTGGGGGGTGGTCGTGCTGGGGGGTGGTCGTGCTGGGGGGTGGTCGTGCTGGGGCGTGGTCGTGCTGGGGCGTGGTCGTGCTGGGGCGTGGTCGTGCTGGGGTGGTCGTGCTGTGGTGGTCGTGCTGGTCGTGCGGTCGTGCTGGGGTGTGGTCGTGCTGGGGTGTGGTCGTGCTGGGGTGTGGTCGTGCTGGGGGGTGGTCGTGCTGGGGGGTGGTCGTGGGGGGTGGTCGTGCTGGGGGGGTGGTCGTGCTGGGGAGTGGTCGTGCTGGGGCGTGGTCGTGCTGGGGCGTGGTCGTGCTGGGGTGTGGTCGTGCTGGGGTGTGGTCGTGCTGGGTGGGTCGTGCTGGGGTGTGGTCGTGCGTGCTGGGGTGTGGTCGTGCTGGGGTGTGGTCGTGCTGGTCGTGTGGGTGGTCGTGCTGGGGTGTGGTCGTGCTGGGGAGTGGTCGTGCTGGGGTGTGGTCGTGCTGGGGGGTGGTCGTGCTGGGGGGTGGTCGTGCTGGGGGGGTGGTCGTGCTGGGGGGGGGGTCGTGCTGGGAGGTGGTCGTGCTGGGGAGTGGTCGTGCTGGGGCGTGGTCGTGCTGGGGCGTGATCGTGCTGGGGAGTGGTCGTGCTGTGGTGAGGTCGTGCTGGAGTGTGGTCGTGCTGGGGTGTGGTCGTGTGGTGAGGTCGGGATTTCAAAAACAAGCGTTTCGCTCGAGACATCCTCAAATTTTAATTCGCCGGCCTCAAAAACAAGCGTTTCGCTCGAGACATCCTCAAATTTTAATTCTCGGGCTCGTTATTTATCAGGGAAAAATTCGCCGGCCTCCTTCGACCTCGTTATTTATCAGGGAAAAAATTCGCCGGCCTCCTTCAAGCAGGCACCGGGGGACTAGGTTTACCTACTAAAAGAGAACCCTGGGCCGGAGCCCTTTCCGGGAACAAGACTGGGGAACCCGAGGAACATGACTGGGCAACCAAAGGAACCCAATCAAGGTATACGAGAGGGGAACCAGAGGAACCCAAGCAAAGAATCAGAGGGGGGACACCGAGGAAACCGAGCAGGGAACAAGATCGAGAACCCCAGTAACCCAAGCAAACAAGAAGACTGGGGGAGCCCGAGGAACCCAAGCAATGAACAAGAGAGGGGATCCCGAGGAACCCAAGCAAGGCACAAGACCAAGGACCTAAGGAACCTGAGTAAATAACAGGACTGGGAAACCCGAGGAACAAGACTGGGGAACTCAAGAAACTCAAGCAAGGAACAAAAGAGGGAAATCCGATGAACCCAAGGAAAGAACCAGACGGGGGAACCCGAAGAACCGCAGCAGCGAACAAAATTGAGAACCCCAGGAACTCAAGCAAAAATAAGACTGGAGAACCCACGCCGGAGCCACCAGCGCCCGGCACCCGGCGTTTTTTTCAATAACACTTGAGAGCCCGGTAGGCAAAGCCTAATTGGGATGCTCGAAGCTGTTACGCGGATGGAAAAGAGGCAATTTTCAAAATGTGGCTGTGACCTCAGCGTCGTGCGTCCTCAGAGTTTCCAGCAGTTACACGGATCGCGGCAGCTTCGTTTCAAACTCGAGATTTCCTCAATCCCGATGATCAGAATTGTAAGCCTTTGCAGCACCTGCACGGACGGAGTAGGGCTCCGTTTCACATCGGGGCTCTCCCTTGAGTCGTTCCTGGGAATTACGGCCTGCCGTTTCACGCTAGAACTGTCAAGCAAGTGGACAACTTTGCGCGCATTGCGTTTTCATGACGGTTTTCTCGCATGACATGCATGACGATGGCGCGCTCGTCTTTGAAGTGGGCATGTCTCGCAGAGAGAAGGAATTCTTGCAGAGGCTTATGACGAGGGGACCTGGACGGGGCGACGTATTGCAGCCATGTTTCCATTGTCTTCCGCGCTGCCGTTTCGAGCGCTTCGCGCCGTCCGCCGCCTTCTCGTTTTTGTAGGTTGAACCGCTTGGGACTCAGCGGTGGGCCCCACTTCGCAGGGGATGGTGGCGTTCGAAACTAAAGTACCCCCTTGGCTCTCGGGGTGGGGGGCCTTGTGCAAGACGGCGCGCAGACTGCTGCAATGCCGAATCCGACCGAACCCCTACCTCCTCCTTATTCTTCCTCCTTCTCCTCACTCTTCATTCCTCCTCCTCTTCCTCCTCCTCCTCTTCCTCCTCCTCCTCTTCCTCTAACTCTTCCTCCTCCTCCTCCTCCTCCTGCTCCTCCTCCTCCTCCATTCAAAACATAATTTCCCCCTGTCGCACCCCGAAGCAAGTTCTTAGGGCGGGCCGGGAGTTTCGTTTGATACTTCCACACCACTTATGACTCTGAAGCTGAACGCGCGGCAACAGTTTCACATATGGCAGGCGGGTGGTTTTCAACATGTGTTTTTTGCCTCAGCGCCGCGCGCATTTTTTATTACTCCGACGGTAGGACCCCGCATGAACATATACTCAGATTGTCCCTTGCCGTTTTCTCTTCGATTGGCGGAGGCCTTCCTTCCGCCCTCTGCGTCCTCCTCCTCCTCCTCTTCCTCCTCCTCCTCCTCCTCCTCCTCATCATCATCATCATTATCATTCTTCTCCTCTTCCTGTTCATTCTCGTCCTGCTCGTTGCATTTCTTATCATATTGCTCTTCTGATTCCTCCTTCTCCTCCTTTTCCTCCTCTCCCTCCCCCTCCTCCTCGTATTCTTCCTCCTCGTCGTCCTTTTCTTCCCCTTCTGCACTTCCCCTCCTCTTCCCCCTCCTCATCTCCACCCCGCCTGTTCTCCTCGTGCACCTTTCCTTCCTCCTGGCAGGAACGCGCGTGTCGGTTTTCCTCGGCGCCGTCGCCGCCTCGGCCAGCACGGGCGCATTCTCTAATGGCCACATCGCGCAACCGTCGGGACAACCCCGCGGGCCAGGCCGTCGGGGCAACCGCCTGAGGCTTCCGCCTGAAACTTCCGCCGTGCTCAAGCTAGAAGAAGCCAACAGTGACGACCGTGACAACATTCCGATGGCACGCTCGGGTTGCTCACGTGAGCTGCGCGCCCCCTAGGGAAGGGGGCTCCCGCCTGATACTTCCTCGCAAGTCACTCACAATTCAGGCCTGCGGAACCCAACAATGACGACAATTACAAGATTCTAATGGCCCGCTCGGGTTAATAACTTGTCATGCGGGCCCCATAGGGAGGGGGGTCCCGCCTGAAAGTTCATCGCAAGTCACTCACAAACGAGGCTCCCGCCTGAGATTTGCTTCATATTCGTGCCTCACAACCCCAAACGCGACGACGGTTACAAGATTCCGATGGCCGCTTGGGTTACTAATCTGATATGCGGGCCCCATAGGGAAAGGGGGCTCCCACCTGAGACTTCCTCACAATCCACTCACAGACGAGGCTCCCGTCTGAGATTTCCTTCATAATCATGCCCCGGGAGCCCACATATGACGACACATTCACGGTTACGATGACCCGCTCGGGTTAATAACATGACCTGCGGGCCCCATAGGGAGGGGGCTCCCGCCAGAGACTTCCTCGCAATTCGCTAACAGACGAAGCTCCCGCCTGAGACTTCCTCCAAACTCAAGGCTCAGGATCCCAGAATATTCGACAAGTGCAAGAGTCCGATGGCCCGCTCGGATTAATAACATGATTTGCGGGCCCCATCGGGAGGGGGCTACCGCCTGAGACTTCATATTCATGCCTCAGGGGCCCAATCGTGATGACAATTACATGATCCAGATGGCCCGCTCGAGTAAATAACATGATCTGCGGGCCCCATAGGGAGGGGGCTCCCGCCTGAAACTTTCTCGATTGCCACTCACAAGCGAAGCTCCCGCCTGAGACTTCATCCATATCCATGGCTCAGGAGCCCACCAGTGACGACAATTACGGGATTCCGATGGCCCGTAACATGATCTGCGGGCCCCATAAAGGGGGGGTGGGGCTCCCGCCAGAGACTTCCTCGCAATCCACTCGCAGGCGAGGCTCCCGCCTGAGACTTCCTCCAAATTCAAGCCTGCGAAGGCCAAACATGAAGACACAGACAGGATCCAGGGCCCTGTCGGATTCGTAACATGATCTGCGGGCCCCATAGGGAGGGGGCAACCTCCTGAGACTTCCTCGCGATCCACTCACATACGAGGCTCACGCTTGGGTGGGTAGGTGGGTGAGTGAGTGGGCGAGTGAGTGAGTGATACTGATGATGATGATGCGTGTGTACATGAATGAATGTGCGAGTGATGGCGGCGATGGTGATGATAGTGTGCGTGAGTGGGTGAGTGACTGAGTGTGCGTGATGATGGTGTGTGAGTGGTTGAGTGAGTGCGCGAAGGGAGGAGAGCGATATATATATATATATATATAGAGAGAGAGAGAGAGAGAGAGAGAGAGAGAGAGAGAGAGAGAGAAAAAAAGAGAACGAAGCAAACATGGATTCAAGGGTGGGAGTTCTCTGGTTCCTGCGCGGGGTGTCAAAAAAACCAACTTCGGATGTGATGAGAAATGCAAGAAGTTCACGGATTGAGGGCGGGTGGTTTTCAAAATGTGGCCCTCGTGGCGCCGCGCGCATTCGCTTTTAACATTTGCAATAGTTCCACGGATTGAGGGCGAATGGTTTTCAACATGTAGATCTCGCTTTAGCGCGGCGCACATTTGTTATAAACATTTGCAACAATTTCAGGGATTGAGGGCGGGTCGTTTTCAAAATGTTGCTCTCGCTTTAGCGCGGCGCACATTCTTAGCAACACCCTGCAAGAGCTTCAAGGATTGAGGGCGGGTCGTTTTCAAAATGTGGCTCTCGCTTTAGCGCCGCGCACAGTCGTTTTAAACATTTGAAGAAACTTCACACATTTAGGGCGGTTCGTTTTCAAAATGTGGCTCTCGCTTTAGCGCGGCGCACATTATTTGCAACACTTTGCAATAGTTTTACGGCTTGAAGGCGGCTCCTTTTCAAAATGTGGCTCTCGCCTTAGCGCCGCGCACATTCGTCTCAAACATTCGAAAGAGCTTCACGAACTTAGGGCGGCTCATTTTCAAAATGTGGCTCTCGCCCTAGAGCGGCGCACATTCGTCTTAAACCTTTGCAGGGGTCTCACGTATTCCCATCATCAACGTGCCAGAAATTATGCTTTTGAAAAGATTCAGGACTGCGCGGGCGCAACAGTTACATTGATTCGCTTGGCGTTCTGGCCCGATTCTGGATCGTCAGCGCGCAACAGTCAGGTTGATCCGTGGCGTTGGAATCCCGAGAACAATGTTATGGCATGCTGCAGGGTCTTTAAACGGTTGTCTTCCAACGAGGCGTTTCCTTCAATGGAAATGAACCGTTGTAGGGACCTATGAAGCGGGAGCTTGGAGGGAGGATTCATTCCGACGTCGTTGATGCCTCTTGGGTTTGCACTGGTCATCCTCCTCTTCCTCCTCCTCCTCTCCCCATCCAATCTCCTTACATTCAGCTCCCTTCTGCTGCGCCCCCAGAAGTATCGATAAGGCGGGCCGGGCGTTTCGCCGGAATTCCTCACCATTTATGATCCTGAAGCCTGGTGTGTTAACAGTTTCAATGTTGGAAAGCGGGTGGTTATCACAACGTGGCTCTAGCCCTGGCTCCGCGCATTTTCGTCTTTGAACCCTGCAGCAGCTTGAAGCGGTTCTTTTTCAAAATGTGGTTCTCGCCTTAGCGCCGCGCACAATCGTCTCAGAAGGCGCAACAATTTTAAAGGTTGGGGGAGGCTATCTTTCACAACGCTGCTCTCGCCTTAGCGCCGCACGCATCAGTCGTAAATAGATGCAGTAGCTTCAAGGATGGAGTGCGGGCGGTTTTCAAAAAGAGGGAAGTTGGAGGGAGGGTGTATGGCAGAATCGCTGATGCGTCTTGAGTTTACACTGGTCCATTTAAAGGTAGGCAAACATCAGCGGCGGGGCTGCTGCGATCCTCGTCAACACGAAGCCTCACAGGGATGGACGTGAAACGATCCAACGAGGACGAGTGCGAGACAATAACAGCTTCACTTGCGGCAGTAGTGCTGGAAACCACACGGAACAGGCGAGAGAAACCAGACAAGCAGAGCCGAGAGCACGAGTAAGCACAATGTCAAGGACCGGATCCACCCTACCATCCAAACCGTCACCCACTCCAACATATTACACTGGTCCTCCTCCTCCTCCTCCTCCTCTGGCCGCTGGGCGCCTGCTCGCCCAGGATCAGACTCCGCGTCCGGGCCAGCGAGGCCTCGATCGGAGGACGACAACTTCGAGGATCGAGGTCCGAAGGTATTGGTTTCGACTTGGATTTGAACATTTTCAGCCTCCAATATGCTTTGTACACTTTCAGGATCCAGGATTCTTATCGCCGCCATGGCTGGGTCCGCCTCGAAATTCTGGTAAGAACGCACCCCTGGGCAGGTCCGGTGGTCTTTCGGACCAATGGGCCCAAAACTCTCGCGAGGTGGAATCTCACTAGCCCTCTGGGCGTAGGACTGTCCCCTATCAACATACCCCCCCCAGGCGACTGGCGGCCAACCAAGAACCATGCTCCCACCCCCCAATCCCGGACAAAAAAAACATACAAAACGCACTCTGCCTCCAAATTCGGAGCATGCGCAATCAACCCGATGCGGGCCCCCCCACCATCCCTGTCAAAAAACAACACAAAATACACTTTGGGGCAACGTCTGGAGTCATGTTCGTGAAGACCGTGAGTGCTTTGTATTGGTTTTTGACAGGGGGTCGTGGCCCCAGAGAGGTTCACCAAGGACGATACCCCAAACTGCGTTACTCACAGCTGCACATGGTTGGGGGCCTTCCCGATGATAATTTGTGCAGTTTGGGCCTGTGGGGGCTGTTGTCGGCCCTGGGGCCGTACAACAGCAGCCCGCGACGAAAAGCGCCCATCTTGGGGTTGGGGTTGGGAGCTCCGTGGCCCACGCCGTGAACAAAGCCGCGATGCGTGAGATGTGGGGACGGCGCGGGCTCTGGCTCCTGCCGCTGCGTGAACCTCGGCCACCGAGCTTCGTGCCTCGCGCAGGAGCTCGTCGTCGTCGTCGTCGTCGTCGTCGTCGTCGTCATACCCATTCCATTCCACTCCATTCTCCCGTTCTCCCTTCGTCGCCCCCTCCACAGATCCTTCGGCGACTTCCCTTCGCGCCCCCCCCCCCCACCCTCGCCCCCCCCCCCCCCCGCCGCCACGTGAGCCTGGGCCACCTGCGCGCCCCAAGATGCGCGGCGCGAGCTCCTCTTGGCACCCTCGCGCCGCCCCCTGGAGAGGGGCAGCCCTCCGGCTCGGCTCCGCGGCGAGAGATGTGCGGCCCTCTTCGCGCCCCCGCGGGGGGCGGGCGAGCCGCTCGACTCGGGGAGGCGCGAGCATGGCGGCGCGCAGAGGGGGGGTATGGGGGAGGCGGGGAGGCTTCTTAGACAGAGGCTGCTCCTTAGAAGGCGCCTGCGCTGGGCGCATCCTTTGGCACACGGTCGGTGTGTGCGCCTTTCCCCGAGATCCCGGCGCCGCGTTTTTTCGAGCTGAAAGTCGGTCCGAGTCCTGTCTCTGGCAAGATAGTGGCGCACACGGTTTTAGCACAGGCGGGAGAGGTGGGTTTGCAGCAGCAGCACTTCCACACCTTCGCAGCAATTTGCCTTAGATGCCCCAGTGTGGGCCGTACTAGCACCAAGCATTTTGCACTGCACACGCGCTGAGTCTAGGAAACAGTCATCATGGCCCTCGAGCGGGTGGTAATGAGGGTGAAGCGCATGCCCTAAGAGGACTGCTGGGCTCCAAAAGGGGCCCAGAGGGGCCACTTTGGTGAACTTCCTTCGCCCCCAATTTGGGCCATCCCCCATTTCCACCCGCCCGATTCCCGGGCCCCCTCACGGATCGATCCGGCTCGAAGAATGCCGCGGAGAGATGACGCCTGGCCGTGATGTTGCATGTCTGCGCGACGTCGGATCTCAGGGCTCGTGGCCGGGCCTGGAGGGCGTGCACGCCGCTGCTGGGCCGAAGATGGGCCTGGGCCACGAGCGGCTCTGGTGCGGGGTTGACGTCGCCCGGCCTCGAAGGAGACGGAGCTGTCGTGCTGGTATTCGCGAGTGTACAGCACGCAGAACTCGGGGAAGACCGCGCTCTCGTGGTACAGGATGACCTCTCGTCGGTGCCCGTCCCGCTCCCCGAAGAGCGAGTCGTACTTGTGGCTGGTGGGGCTGCCCACCAGCGCGCGGTAGTCGCCTGCCTTGCTCTCCCGGTCGACCTCGCCGAGAATCACCCTGCAGAGGAGCATGACACACACGCTCTGGCCAACCTCGAGGTTGTGGGTCGTGGTCTTGTACCAGCCGGCCATGTGCTCGTGCGGAGTGGAGTACTCATCCGCCTTCGCGCACGAGTCGGCAAAATACAGGCCCGCGCCGAAGAAGCCGAACGTCTTCTTCCCCATGTGGAAGTCCTCTGAGAAGATGTGCTCGACCGCTTCGTACTTCGTGCCGTGCCACAGGTATGCCTCGTTGACGTCCGTCTCCAGCTCGCGGGAGGTCTCCCTGCCGCCGTGCGCGCGGGCGCGGAAGCACTGCATCCTTGCCGCGAGCTCGTGTGTGGCCACCCTGACGGGCGTGCACGCGCCGCGCTTCCTGCGGAGCTGCTCTCGGAACGCGCTGTACTTGGCATATATCCTGCCGTTCGTGTTCCGCAGCACCTCTCAGAGGCTTCCGGAGGTCATCCTGGCCCGAGGTGCCCCCAGCTTCTCGCAACATGTCCCGCCAGCCCTCTGAGCGTGAGTGGTCTAGGGAGTTCGCTCGGCCAACCCCCCTCTTCCCCTTCGGGGAGGGAGTTCCCCCTCCCCCTCTGCCCTCCCCCTAGGTCTGACCCTCCGCCCCTGCGAGGTGTCAGAGGGTCCTTTTTGGCCCCCAGTGGATCCAAGAGGAGAGGGCCACAGAGAGCCCAAGATGGCTTCCAAAATCGCCCAATATCTCCTCAGATGATGCAAGATAGCCTCCAACAGTCTCCAAGATCCCTCAAGATCGCCCCAGGGACAACCTCAAGCGCCCTCCGAGCCTCCCAAGGACTGGGCGTGTCCTCAGGTCCTTTGCCGAACGCCCTAAGCACTCCCGAGGAGTCTTTCAGGGGCCCGGACCCTGATTTCCGAAATCTCCTGGGGCTTGTCGGATGCCCCCTAACCTCCGGGGAGTCTTCTCTCATGACTTCTTCGGGCCCAAGAGGGCCCCTAGATACGGCAGGTTCGTGTCGTGTCGACCCCAGCGTTGGTTCCCGACTCCGCGCTGGATCGTTCAACCTTGAACGATCGGCCGTCTCCGCAACGTCCGATCGTTCAACATCGACCGATTCTGGGCCGCCGGCGGCGTTCAACCTTGAACGTCAGCGGCGGGGTCGCCGCCGGTCGACACGACGCGAACCTACCGTAGATAGGCCCAGAGCGCCCCAAGAGGCCCCCAAGATGGCCCAAGAAGGAGGCCCCGAGCCGCCGAACGATCGCTCCAAGACGCCCAAGACGGCCCGAAAACGGCCCAAGAGGCCCCCAAGACGCCCAAAGGGGCCTCCACGAGGCCTTCTGAGAGGGCCCCAAGAGGCGACAAACATTGAATTTCCTAAGGTTTTGAAGAAGTTTGACGTTCTCGCCTTTTCTGTTTTTGAGCGCTCCAAGACTTCCCCAGAAGCCCCCAAGACGTTCCAAGAAGCCTCCAAGAGGGCGCCAAGACGGCCTACGCCCAAAGACGGCCCAAGAGGCAGAGGGTTCAAAGACGGCCCCAAAAGAGGCCCAAGCGAAGGAACACGAATCGAAAATCCCAGCCTTCCGCCCCAAGAGGCCCCCAGGAGGCCACAAGAGGCGCCCAAGGGGCCCCAAGAGGCCCTCAAGAGGCCCCCCCAAGAGGCCCCGAAGAGGTACGAAAGAGGCCCCAAGAGGCACCAAAACGGCCCCCAAGAGGCCTCAAACTGCCTCCAAGAGGCCCCCGAGAGGCCTCCCACGAGATCCCAACGAACATCAAATATGCTTTATACCCACAACCCAGGCACGGTGGCAGGGTGGGCCGAATGCCACGAGTAGCCTTCAACATGCCTCCACGAATCCTGAAGGTCGCCCCAGGACGGCGTCAAATGCCCTCCGAGCCTCCCAACGAGGCCCCCCAGAGGCCCAAATCCGTCAAAACCACAATTTGCTTCACTTTGTTTTGCCTTCTCGCCTCTTCTCTTCCGATTTGCTCTCGAGGCCTCAAGACGGCTCCAATATGGCACACGATGACCCCAAGACGGCCCCAACGATTTTTTCGCGCGAGCCGAGGAGCGAGGGGGCCGAAATCGGCGACCTCGCCTCTTTTGATCACTGGGCCCCTAAAGTGGTCCCCCTTAAAACCCCTCGGGACCTCCAACAGGGCCCCACAACAGCACCCAAAGCGCCCCAAGAGGGCCCCAAGATAGCCGCAACAGGGCGCAAGGGGCCTCCAGGGTGGCTCCAAGAGGGCTCCACGATGGCCTCAAGAGGCCTCCAGGACGCTCCAAGAGCGAAACATCACAAAGGTCGTCATATTGACTCCTGTCGTCGTCGCCGTCGTCGTCGACGTCGTCGACGTCGTCGTATTCCTGCGCTTCCTCCGGCTGCCTTGGTTGAGTTCTTGCTTGCTAGATGCCCAGCGCGCGCGTCGTCGGGGTTCGTGCGCCCGTTCGCGCGCCCACAGCAACGCACGCACGACGAGCGACGACTGGCAACCGCTCTGCCAAGGTAACCCAGGGCACGCACGAAGTAATACAGGCACCGCAATCGAGGACAGGCAACCACTCAACCAAAACGCTACACGTCATTGATCTGGCAACTCGGCTGGTGTCTGTTTTGGGATAGTCTGGTTGGAATATTTTTTCGGTCGCGGCCACGAGCGAAGAGCGCGCGCGGCGAACAGGGTGTCCGGGCCAACGGGCAAGCCTAAAGCTACAAGACGCGCCGCTAGCCGGCCGGCCCACGTGGTTGGAATACGCGAAACGTCAAGAATTTGATCCCCCGGGGCCCTCTGGATATCGTGCGGCAGGATCTGCAAACGCTCTCTTGGACAAAAACTCGGGACACTTTTAGCCATATCCAACTCTGGCAAATCCCGAACCTTCTTCGCGCACAGCCGGATCGGCAGCCTGCTGTTCTTCTGCGTCGGGCTGGGGATCATGGTGGCGTCAAGCAACGACTGAATGTGCGGTACGAGTTCTGGCGTGTCCTGCGCGTCGATGAGAGGAGCAACTCGAGGAGGATGATGAGGAGGAGGAGGAGGAGGAGGAGGAGGAGGAGGAGGAGGAGCACGAGGAGCAGGAGGAGCAGGAGGAGGAGGAGGAGGAGGAGGAGAAGGAGAGGAGGAGGAGGAGAGGAGAGAGAAGGAGAGAGGACGAGGAGGAGGAGAGGAGGAGGAGGAGAGCGAGGAGGAGGAGGAGGAGGGAGGAGGAGGAGCAGCAGCAGCAGCAGCAGGAGCAGGAGGAGGAGGACGAGGAGGAGGGATGAGGAGGACGAGGAGGAGGAGAAGCAGGAGGAGGAGGGAGAGGAGGAGGAGGAGGAGGAGGAGGAGGAGGAGGAGGAGGAGGAGAGGCCCATAATTCAAGCAGGGGGAACAGGGCGAGGATGAGGAGGTGGACTCCTCGACATGGGGAGGGGAAGGGGAGGAGGAGGAGGAGGAGGGAGGAGGAGGGGGAGGAGGAGGAGGAGCAGGAGGAGGAGGAGGAGGACGAGGAGGAGCAACTGGAGAAGGAGGAGGAGGATGAACAACTTGAGGAGGAGGAGGAGAAGGAAGAGGAGGAGGAGGACGAGGAGGAGGAGGAGGAGGAGGAGGAGGAGGGGGAGGAGTTTTCGAGTTTCCTCCCCAATCGCAATGATTGTCTGCCGCCGCGCCGCGCCTCGTCGGCGCGGGCCGCCGCCGTGCTCCTCGGGACCCCCATGGGTGGCGCGGCTGCCACCTCTCGCCACCAGGGGGCCCCCGTGCACGGACCCGCTCGCGCCGTCCGCGTGCGGCTCCGTCCACTGCCGCTGGCGCTCTGGCGCCCCTCTCACGTTCCGCCAGGCCGCTGACTCCCGCTCGGGCCCAGCCACCTGCGGGAGACCTCGTATCGAACCCGCCACATCGCCTTGCTGATGCCGCTTGGCCCTTCCGTCTCCAGCTTCGCTTTACCCTTCTCGCACGCCCTGGCTGCAACGCTGTAGCTGATCATGTCGGGCTCCAACTTCGCCCCCGGTTTCCCGCACGCGCTGTTCTCGAACTGTGGCTAGGAGTGTCGGGCTCCAGCTTCGCCTTTCCCTTCTCGCACGCTCTGGTCCCCGCGCTGTAGCTGATGGTGTCGGGCTCCCCCTTCGCCTCCCAGTGATCGTACGCGCTGTGCCTTGAGTCGTGGCTACGGATAACGGGCTCCAGCTTCGCCTTCCTCTTCTCGCGCGCCCTGATCGCAGCGCTATAGCTGCTCATGTCGGGCTCTACCCTCGCCTCCCGCTTCTTACACGCGCTGTCTCCAGGGCTGCGGCTAGGGATGACGGGCTCCAGTTTCGACTTTCCCTTCTCGTGCGCAATTGTCCCAGCGCTGCAGCTGATCATGTCGGGCTCCCTCTTCGCCTTACTTCTCGCACGCGCTGACCCCAGAATACTGGCTATGGACCCGGGGCGATATCGGGCTCCATCTTTGCCTTCCCCTTCTCACAAGCCCTGATCCCAGCGTTGTAGCTGATGGTGTCGGGCTCTATATTTACCTCCCACTTCTCGCTGACGACGGCGATCATGTCCAGCACCTGGTCTCCAACGGCTGCCGTGAATACTGTCGCCCCGCAGTGGCAAGTTGCGCCCGCCTGCACGTGCCGGCGGCGGCCAGGCACGAACACGAACGTCTCACGGTTCAACTCGAAAGCCGCCAGCGGCTGCCACTGCCTCTTCTCGCACGCCCTGGCCCAAGCGCTGTAGCTGATGGTGTCGGGCTCCATCTTCGCCTCCCACTTGTCGCACGCGCTGTTCCCAACGCTGTGGCTAGCGATGTCGGGCTCCAGCTTCGCTGCTCCCTTCTCGCACGCCCTGGTCCCAGCGCTGCAGCTGATGGTGTCTGGTTTTATCTCCGCCTCCCCCTCTTGCATTTCTTGCTGAGTGTCGTGGAAGCTTCAGACTAGCGAGATCGGGCTCTAGCTTCGCCTCGCCTTCCCGTTCTCGCACGCCCTGTTCCCAGCTCTGGAACCGATGGTGTCGGGCTCTATCTTCGCCTCCCACTTCTCGCACCTCGCGCTGAACGACGTGGGAAACTTCTGACTGATAAGGTCGGGTTCCAGCTTCGCCCTTCCATTCTCGCACGCCCTGATCCCAGCGTTGTAGCTGATGGTGTCGGGTTCTGTCTTCTCCTCCCATTTCTCGTGCACCTCCACTTTCTCACAGTCGGGTTCTGGCCTCGCATTTGGCTCCAGCTTCGCCTCCCCCTTCTCACAATCGCGTTCCAGCATCGCCTTCGCCTCTGCCGCCTGCTGCCGCTGCTCGCTCTTGACGGCACGCTGCCCACGGTTCTCGATGGCAGGAGCAGGAGTCTCCTCCTTCGCCTGCCGCTACAGAAACTCCGCTTTCTGCTTCTATTCCTCGACTCACCTCCGAAGTCGCTGCACCAGCCTGTCTGCAAATGCGCTCGCGCCTGCGGCGCCCCGCAAAAACACCCCTCGCGCCGGCGGCGCTGGGGGCATTTGCTCGGCAGGCCCTCCCGAAAAGGCTGGGCCGCGATGCAGAGACACCTGGGAGGATGGGGAGGAGGAGGAGGGGGAGGAGGAGGGGGAGGAGGAGGAGGAGGAGGAGGAGGAGGAGGAGGAGGAGGAGGAGGAGAGGAGGAGGAGGAGGAGGAGGAATGGAAGGACCCGAAGGGAAAGTGCACGGCACCAAAAACGGGCCTGGAAGGGACAACGGTTACCCCTCCTAGGGCCGTAAGAACTAAACGAGTTGGAATTACTTGCCTGCAGAGGCTTCCTTTAAACAAATCCTCTCGACTAGGGCAGCCATTCGCTGCTCATAGGAGGGAACCCCTGAGGCTGAGAAAGACCTGGACACCTCAGTCGAGTCAGGGACCGCAGCGGACTCCGAGGGGGCCAACATCTCAACCGTGGGGCAACGAGGGAGGACAACGCTACGGCCGAGGAGGGCTCTGACCTTACGGTTCGGTGGCTTCCCCTGGGCATAGCGGCTTATAACCTCCTAGCCTTTCTTTGTGGGGTGTTGACCAGGATTGAGACACTGCTTAGCAAGCTTCAGGGCTCTACCCTGGGACCACCCCCCACATCTTAAACAAATCCAGAACTGCTTCTCATGGACCTTACTACCAGCACTGCCCGCAGCACGAGCCGTCAATCCAGCCGCGACGACGAGGTGCCCCATGGGGTCCTTGAGGAGCGGTCGGATGTTGGGGGGGACCCCCATGCAACCATTAAGGGGAAGCTCGGCTATATCCTCACCCCCAAGACTGAAACACTTCACACAGCGGAGGCCTGCTGGTCCGTCAACCCATTCATGCCAGTCCTGTTGCACTCGATGTGTCCGCCTACGGCGGTTGACGTCGGAACTCCTTTGCCACCGAGGCGTGACCTCAAAAAGTGGCAGGACGGCGACAGCCAGCTTACAGAAGTTGGCAGCTCTTTCCTCGGCGACCTCTAACTCCTGCAAGAATGATGGGTCAGCAGACGGGTGCAATCGAACAGCCACTTTCGCATGGTGATCCACAATGCGGTTGGCCTCTGCATATTCACGCTCGTGCTGCTCCAAAGAGCCAATCACTGCCTGAGTCCGATGCGCCTTCACATGACGCACCTCCTGTATGAGAGCTGTGCCCTCCAACGTGTGGGCAAACTTTCTGATCCCTGCAAACTTGCTGCGCACCGACAGCTGCTGAGACAGATCTTTTTGCGCGAGCTTTATCGCAGACATACAGTCGACGCCGAGCTGAGATGGTCTGTTTGCCACCTGACCGCACAGCGCCACACCCACGTGCTCAGACATCGCAGGTGTCTGAGGAAAACTGCCGTGGACCACTCCACGCATCACACAGAGGGGAGGAGGAGGAGGAGGAGGACGAGGAGGAGGAGGAGGAGGAGGAGATGATGATGAGGAGGATGGGGAGGAGGAGGAGGAGGAGGAGGAGGAGGAGGAGGAGATGATGAGGAGGATGGGGAGGAGGGGGAGGAGGAGGAGGAGGAGGAGGAGGAGGAGATGATGAGGAGGATGATGAGGAGGAAGAGGAAGAGGAGGAGACGAGCGTACGAGGAAGGTTCCGATCCCTACACTATAGACTATAGCCCGCGAGACAGCGGGCGCAACGCAGGCAGGGCGGCGGCGTCTGCGTTGAGCAGGTCGTCCGGGTGGGGCGGCGCAGCCGCTGTTTCTTTCAGCGGAGAGGCGCTGACGCACGGAAGATGGGGGGCAACGAACGACAGGAGGCCAAGGCGGGAGAGGAGGGGGCCCGAAGATCAGTACGACCATCGCTCACGCGGCAGTGGCCGGCGGACGGGGAGGAGTAAGAGGTGGGAAGCAACGCAGAAGCAGCGTAACTCTGGAGCGCCGGACAACGAGAGTCTCCATGGCGAATCCCGCGTTGCGTCTCTCGCGCGCACCGATCCCCCGCGCGCCCACAACGCCATTTCCCCGGCAGTGCGCACGTCGCACGCGCAATCGTTTTGCTCGGGACTACTTCTGGCCGCCGATCACAACACCCATGGAAACACCCTTTCAATCACCCTTAGTATCACCACCCAATGATCCATTTAAGTCCTACGTGAAAGTTGGGTGCACAAGAGAGAGAGAGAGAGAGATAAAAAGAAAGATAGAGAGAAACATAAACAAAAGATGAGAGAGAAACTTGCGAGGGCGAGATGAACTGAATCGGCGATGCGCGGGCCTGACATGAGAACAAGCACGGACCGGCCGAGACAGAAGCCTGAGCGCGCACCCGGCCAGGCACGGAGACCGACGCATCAAGGCTGACAACCGTGGGGTGGGGGACAAGGTGAAGCGCAGCAAGAGAAGGAGAACTCGGACGAGAGGAGGAGGAGGAGGAGGAGGAGGAGGAGGAGGAGGAGGAGGAGGAGGAGGAGGAGGAGGCAAGAGCAACAGCAGAATGAACGCATGAGAAACGCCCCCCGCCCCGCACATGAGGAGCTTTAGACAAGCGGGACCGTCGAACGACGCGGGAACTGCACGTCGCCGAGCGCGCGGGCCCCCCTGCGGCAGCT